TTTACAGCTCCTGGGTTTTAAATACTTCTTTTTTTTTTTGGTCTGTTTTTGAGTCGGAGTCTCACCCAGGCTGGAGAACAGTGTCAGCCTCATGGCCATCAAAGCCTCATCTGCTGGGCTCAGGTGATCCTTCCACTTTAGCCTTCAAAGTAGCTGGAACTACAGGCGCACGCCATCAAAGCTGGCTAATTTTTTGATTTACTGTAGAGATGAGGTCTTGCCAAGATGGCCAGGCTGGTCTCGAACCCCTGGACTCAGGCAATCCTCTCGCCTCTGCCTCACAAGTTCCCAGAATTATAGATGTGAGTCACCACAAATGGTCCACTTTCTTCCTGAAACCTAGACTGACTTTTTTTTTCCTGCTTCGGGTATCTTCTCATACCCTTTTATTCCTAGTGGTATTTACATATCAGTTTCATCAACTTTTGCTGGACAAAACTATTTCTCAATTCCATACAGTTAAAAGAAGGCTGAAACATAACCCAGAGAAATCTGTAACCAATTTGATATCAAATCTTTCAGCAGTTTACTGATTTTATAAATTGGGGACATTCACAGAACTTAAGAGTTGGGTAAATAAGCCTCATCTAAACACTGCAAACCTGCTTATGTTTATTTGCATTTATTTAAAGTTTAACTATGAAAGGACAAAAATAATGATATACTGCTCAGTTCAACTTAGTTCCCAAGCCAGATGTTTTCTCAGTTTGTTCACCACAGCTCGTATTCATGCCTGATTAATACTTGAAACAGCACTCTTCACAAGATCATCATGGAATTCCACACTTCATAGTTTATAGGGAAGAATCAGTGATTTTACACTAAGAATCAGAGTGAATAACAACACAAGTCTCTCTGAAAAGAAAATCTTCAGGGGCTGGTAGGAAACAAAAGGCTAAATATTAGCATTGTTCTCAGGCATCGTTTTGTAATATTACTTTATGTTCATGTATATAACATGTATTATTTGTCTAAAAACTGTGTTTCTCAGTTGAGGGACACGTGACAACACCTCATTCACTATGAGTAAGGGCCTGCTAGAAGCCCAAACTTCACCTACATGCAGCCTACTTATGTAGTTAGCCCTCACTTTTTTTTTAATTGGAGTCTCACTCTGTCACTCAGGCTGGAGTGCAGTGGCACGCTCATGGCCACCACAGCCTCAACCCGCTAGGCTCAGGCAATCCCTCTACCTCAGCCTTCCAAGTAGCTGGGACAACAGGCACACAACACTATACCTGGTTAATTTTTTGATTTATTGTAGAGATGAGGTCTTGCCAAGTTGGCTTATCTTGCTGGTCTTGCAACGATGAGTTCAGCCAATCCTCTCATCTCAGCCTCCAAAAGTGCTGGGATTATAGGCATGAGCCACCATGCCTGGCTAATAAAATAATTTTTTTTTTTTTTTTTTTTTCTCACTCTGTCACCCAGACTGGAGTGCAGTGGCCGCT